GCTTCTCTCTTCGTGACATCAAATGGTGATATTTATATTGATGATGGTGAGGACAACAGTCGAGTGCAGAAATGGATGGCAGAAACAAATACCTTTGTCACAGTGATGAATGTCAACTCATCATGTTGGGGTTTGTTTGTCGATATCAATGATACTCTTTATTGTTCAATGTATAATCATGATCAAGTAGTGAAAAGATCATTAAATGACTCTGTGATAAATTCAAATCATATTGCTGCTGGAACAGGTATTTACGGATATGGCTCGAATGAACTTAATGGTCCGAAAGGAATCTTTGTCGATGTGAATCTGGATTTATATGTAGCAGATTGTGGAAATGATCGAATTCAGTTGTTTCAGTCAGGAGGATTGAGTGGTATCACAGTGGTTGGAAGTGAATCACTAAATCCAATAATTATACTTGTTTGTCCAACTGGAATTGTATTAGATGCTGAGAAATATTTATATATTGTGGATCAGGAGAATCATCGCATTATTGGATCAGGCTTGAATGGTTTTCGATGTTTAGTTGGATGTTATGGAGTGGGTTCACAATCCAATCAATTGAACCAGCCATTTAGTTTTAGTTTCGATAATTCTGGAAACATCTTTGTTACTGATCAAGAAAATTCTCGAATCCAAAAGTTTTTATTGACGAAAGATTCTTTTGGTAAGTTGCAGAAAAGTTGAATGAAATGAAGAGATACGAACAGATCAGTAGCAGGAGTAAAGGAAGACATTCTAGGGAGATGGCCAGTTGCTCTCATGACACATGCTCGTCGGACAGTTGCGCGCGGACATTTGCTCGCCAGGACACTTTCTCGGCAGGGTATGAGTGATGGTGTAGGTGTGGGTGTGGATGTCAGTATGGGTGAAGCTGCAGGTATGGATGTGGGTGTTAGTGTGAGTCTCAGTGTGGGTGCGGGTGTGGATGTCAGTATGGGTGAGGGTGTAAGTGTGGTGACTGGTGTGGGTGCGGGTATTCTATTGTTTCAACACCCACACCCACATCCTTTCCTTGATAAAATTTATTCAGATCTTTCAGAAGATTTTTCAAGAAAAAGTAATCACAAAATATTTTTTATGTAAAATGATCAATATCGATGTTTTAAATAAAAATATTTTAACAATATCACAATTCATATTCTATATGAAAATTAATAAAAATCATCCCTAAAATCAGTGTTAATAAACATTTTTAAATGTCTTTTTCATCAAAAATCTGTTTGAGAAACTTTCTTTTTCTTCTAAGAAGCTAGAAATGAATAATTTTATTTCGTTTACAGTTCTTCTCTAATATGCTTTCTATTTTTCTTGTTTTTAGTTCTTTCATTCAATCAGCCAAAGTTTTGTTCAATAGCCACTTGGAATCCCACGGGAATTACCTTTGCTAATCAATCAATTGTTGGTCAATATCCTCTTGCGATTTTTGTGAACATAAACAACACAATCTATGTCGCTGATGCAGAAAATAATATAATTCTAATATGGTATCAAGAAAGTGTCAAACCAACAAAGATCATTCACGGTAATTTTGCAGAACCCGCTTCTCTCTTCGTGACATCAAATG